ATATATATATATTCCCAAAAAGATCAGCTAATTGTAAAGAGTTCTATCAAAGTGTGTTAAAAAGAAACTGTCAGGGAAGAAAAATAGGAGCTGTCTTTGCTGGCTTGTAGCAGGCATGATCCAGTCACTGTCCTTTCTATCCTTCTGTTAGGTAAGTAATGAACCCAAAATAAGCTTTCACATGTGAATTGCCAGGGTCCCTCTTGTGCACATGTTTGTTCTGGGACAGGACATTTTTAAAAATAATTGCTGGTCACTTCATTTGAAAAACAAATTACAGAATACAGCAATGTTGTTCATCACAACCACCACATGTTTACTTATATTTCTTAATCAGAATATTTAGTGCATAGCTATACCTTCATTATGTTTTGCTCTTTTTTATTTCCCAAAAGATGGCTAAACAAGAAAAGGGGAGCTGTTGCATTGAATTAGATGTTTTCGGCAACACTGCTATTTCCCTTCATGTCAGTTCTGCCGTAAAGGTTGTTTTTATTCCAAGATACACTATATGGCCAAAGTGTGTGGACAGTTTACTATCACTTGTTGCTTATTTTAAATCCCATTCCAAAATCCATGGCCATCAATAAAGATTCCCCCCTCCACCCTTTGTAGCTATTAAAGCTTGCACTATTCTGGGGAGGCTTTCTACAAGATTTTAGAGTGCGTCTATAGGAAGTTCTGCCCATTCAGCCCAAATAGCCTTTGACAGGCTAGGAACTGATTTGGGTAAGAAGACCTGTCTCACAACTGGTTTCTAATTCATCCCATAAGTGTTCAGCACGGTTGCGTTCATTACACTGTTAAGGCCACTTGAGTTCCTCCATCACAAACTCATCAAACCATGTCCTAATGGAGCTGGCTTTTTGAACAGGGGCTCTGTGATTGTGGGTTAGAAAAGAGTCCTGCCTAAACTGTTGCCACAAGGTTGGAAGCGCACAACATTCTATGCTGTAGAATTAACAGACCCTTCGCACCTGACCTCAATAATCTGGAGGGCCACACACTTTTGGCCATATAATGTATAAGAACTAATGGCTTACATTACAGTGTAGCGCATTTCCTTACTTTTGCTGGGAAAAGGGTAGCACCGAAGAAAGACCACTTTCTGGCAACTGTAAGATATATTCGCACACAGTCTGAAGCACTGTGGCCTCGAAGTGCCATCCATCTTGACCCCAGTCTCTGCTGAAGCTGTCTGAAAGGAGCAATATCAAAGCAATGATCCAATTTGTGTTAATGAGAAAAGGAGATGCAAGCAAGAAACTAGCTTAAAAAAGATTTGGAAGGCTAAACTTTGACACCTGGGGTCTACTTTTGAGAGAGTTGTTAATAGTTAGTAGTATATTTCTTTGACAGCAGTCAACCATCAATATTGTTAAGAGAAGAAGGAGGTCATAGCAACAGAGGAAGAGAAGTGCTCCACATAGACACACAGTAGTGGACTGATCAGGGGTCATATTTCATGCAGCATGTTCATTCTCAGTTTCTAATACATTAGTAACACTTCAGCATGCCAGATAGAAATGGATGAGCTATGTCTGCCAGGGCTCCTGGTATGGTGCCCATCCGGGCATTACACTGGTAATCACTGTGCCATGCACAAAATCATATTTATACTTCTTTCAGTCTGTTGCGACCACTTTAACAATGGAAATGGCTCCTAGCTCACAAGTGCAGGCACACCCACCTTAGCTGCTCTTCCACGCAGTCCTCTCTATACCTCTTGGGATAAAATTTTTCCAGTGCTTGTTTTACTGCTTGGCTTGACTTCACTTGACCTGCTGTAGCCTGAAACGGTCGTTCATAATCCCCACTTTCCACCTGAAGATGTAGAAGCAGTAAATGCCATTATAGTAATATTGAATAGTGTTTCTTAGAACCAGTACTACATTTTACATGACTGTGCTCACTACTCTGCTTCACTATTGGAGCAGAACAGTTGGGAGGTGTATTACATTTTTCATCCAACCTGACTGAGATTCAATGGGAAACTAGTGACTTCTTGTGGTTGCTTCACCAGATACATTGTCATACAGTGGCGTGATTGGGCCAATATAATCCATAGCATGCAACATGTGATCACATCTGCTGCATTACTAACCTGCCTGCATTCTTGTCACAGAATATAAGGTGCTCTGTGAAAAGAATACAAGATGTTTATGAATGAATGAGGAGGGGGGGGGGGGGGGAGCACATAAC